AGTTTAAGATGCCGAACTCCTCCGACGAGTACACTTGAAACCAAGGCAATTTTGTGACTAGAAAAGTAGATTTAGAGCTTAATACACCCTATTTGAGCCGAAAAATTGCATAAAACTCAGATCTGGAGCCCTTACTCTAGATGCACAGCACTTGCTCGATAAAATGCCCCAACGAGTCTCTTTGAGCTTAGAACCCCGAAATTTGTACTTGTTTTTTTGGTCGTTTCTTTGCAAACCGAAACCATTTTATTGCGAAATATGGCTGTTTAAAGCTTCACACTTCATGTTCAAGTCATAAACCACTTCGAATCCCGGCCTAAAACTCTCAATAAACCACGCCCGCCATATGCTCGATGAAATGCCCGAACGAAGCTTCAACTCTTTTCTTGTGAAATCGAGCTCTAAAGCTTTGTTGTGTACGTGATTTGCATTGATGTTCTTACTGAATCTGCGTTTGGTTGCCTTTCATGTGTTTTTTCTGGCATGTTAACGTTGTATGAGTCGGCCTCACGTATGCACCCCCTCGATGGAGATGATCTTCAGCACCGACGAAGCCCGCGGTTTGAGGCCGCCCTAGTCAGTCCATTCTGTGAAGACTCACGAACAGGAAGAGAAGGAAACAATGAGGAAAGAAACAGAGAGAAAAGAAACAGAGTTTTTGGATTTACATTTCTCTGAATACAAAGAGAATTTCATCATTCAGAGTCAACAACGTTTTCTCTGTTCTCTTATTTATATTGTACAGAACCACCAAAGGTAGTTTTACAGCTCATCTAATGAAGCTAACAAACTAACAGACTAACAGAAGAAGAGAAGTAAAGTCGGTTGTTCATTCAGTTAAATGCACAAAACAGAGTAACGGTTCTGCAGTGGAAGAGTTGGACACGTGAAGCTGGAAGTTTTCTTGTTGACTTCATCTCTTGCCTTCCTAGTTGAATCAGCAATATCTTCATTTCTTTCCTTTGTTGAAACAGAGTGAAAGTTGTTCTTAACATCCCCCCGCAAATTGGGAAGGGGTCGAAAACCCATACCCAATTTGGTACTGATAGTAATGTGAGCCAAGCGTGACAAAGATTTGGTAAAAATATCAGCAAGCTGATGAGCACTGGAAACATAGCGCACACTTAGAGAACCTGAGGAAACTTTCTCCCGAACAAAATGGAAGTCAACTTCGATGTGTTTGGTGCGAGCATGTAGAATAGGATTGGCAGTAAGAGAAATGGCAGACTGATTATCACAAAACAAAAGTGTGGGGGAGGAGAGACATAAACCAATGTCACGTAGAACAAAACTGATCCATGTAAGATCAGCAGTAGTAGACGCAAGTGCTCGATATTCAGCTTCTGTGGAGGAACGAGACACAGTAGGCTGCTTCTTAGCTGCCCATGAAATGAGATTAGAACCAAGATAGGTGCAGAACCCAGTAGTTGAGCATCTGGTATCAACACAACCAGCCCAATCAGTATCGGAGAATCCATATAATGTCATTGAGCTGTGAGAACGAATAAAAATACCAAGATGAATGGTTCCTTTAACATAGCGAAGAACCCTTTTCAACTTATGAAAATCTCCAACTATTGGCTGCTGCATCTTCTGACATAAGAGGTTTGTGGAATAAGCAAGATCATGGCGAGTTATTGTTAGATACTGAAGACCATCAACTAGACTTCTATATTCAAGTGGATTGGCGAGTAGAAGCGCATCATTTGTCATGATGACTGATCTTAGTGACAGAGGAGTGGAAACAGGTTTACATTCTGTCATGTTAGCTTTTGTCAGAAGATCAAGAGCACACTTGGTTTGACATAGGAAAAGATCATTAGTGGTGCGTTTGGCTTCAATCCCTAAGAAGTAATGGAGATGCCCGAGATTTTTCATGTGAAAGTGAAGACTGAGTGATTGAATCAGTTTAGTGAGTAGCTGATCTGAGCTGCCAGTCAATAGAATATCATCTACATAGAGCAACAAAAGCATTGTGTATGGACCATCACGAAGCACAAAGAGTGAGGGATCAGTAGTGCTACAGAAAAAACCAGCTTCAAGAAGAAAATTGCTAAACTTGTCAAACCAAGCACGTGGCGCTTGACGAAGACCATATAAGGACTTCTTGAGAAGACATACAAATTGAGATTTCTGAGGATGTATAAAACCAGGTGGCTGCTCCATATAGACTGTCTCATTTAATGTTCCATGTAAGAAAGCATTTTTAACATCAAGTTGATGTATTGATCAATGCTTCATCATTGCCACTGAGAGCACTATACGGATGGTGGCATGTTTGACAACAGGACTAAATGTTTCTGTAAAATCAACTCCCTCTTCTTGGTGAGATCCCTTAGCCACTAACCGAGCCTTCAATCTATCAAGACTTCCATAAGATGCGAGCTTAGTTTTAAACACCCATTTGCATCCTATGACATTCATTTGGTTAGTTCGAGGAACTAATATCCATGTCTGATTTTCATGCAGAGCATCCATTTCATCCTGCATTGCTTTATGCCAGCCTTCATCAGCTAAGGCTGATTTAACCGATCGTGGTTCAAGAGGAACTTTGTATTCAGCTAGACATGCATATCTGGGATTTGGCTTTACAATGCCAGATTTCAGTCGGGTTTGCATAGAATGGGTAGAAAGTGTACCTTGTGAAACTGGTGGAGGATTTTGCTGAGTTTGGTCAATAATAATTTCATCTGTTGTATCAATTGTGTGAGGAAGAACTTCTTGTTCATCAGGGACTGAGTCGGACTGCAATTGTAAGTGAGATGAATTTGATGGCATTTCTGCATTCTGGCTGCCATTCTCGTGCTCTCAGATGAGACTTTGATACCATGTGAAGACTCACAAACAGGAAGAGAAGGAAACAATGAGGAAAGAAACAGAGAGAAAAGAAACAGAGTTTTTGGATTTACATTTCTCTGAATACAAAGAGAATTTCATCATTCAGAGTCAACGACACGTTTTCTCTGTTCTCGTATTTATATTGTACAGAACCACCAAAGGTAGTTTTACAGCTCATCTAATGAAGCTAACAAACTAACAGACTAACAGAAGAAGAGAAGTTAAGTCGGTTGTTCATTCAGTTAAATGCACAAAACAGAGTAACGGTTCTGCAGTGGAAGAGTTGGACACGTGAAGCTGGAAGTTTTCTTGTTGACTTCATCTCTTGCCTTCCTTGTTGAATCAGCAATATCTTCATTTCTTTCCTTTGTTGAAACAGAGTGAAAGTTGTTCTTAACACATTCCTCCTTGTTTTAGTGTGTGTATGCTTGTTTATTTACTGGTTTATGGTATGGATTGGGGAGGAGAAATCTCTGGGGTTGAAAGTAGGATAGTCGGAGAGTGCATCTTTTCGTCGTCGGAGTGGTCCCCGAAGCGTTGGCCAGCTGTGACGGTGTAAGGCCAGCGCCGCTCGTCGGCGCCAGCGGCCCGAGCCGATGGCCGGCGGCAGACGTCCCCTCGTGTAATCACTGTGGAGCTGGTTTCGGCAATGAAGAGCTCTCGGTGAAGGAGTTCAGGAGCATGCAAAAGGCACGTAGGAGAGGAAGAGTAAGAAAAAAAAAACAAAAAGAAACAAAAGAAATCAAAAAACAAATGGAAAATGGGGTTCCAGGTCAGGTGTCGGGCAGGTCGGGTTAGGGAATCCGGTCCGAATCCTTATTTTATTAATAAATAATTTAAAATTTAAAATTCAAAAAATTCAAGAATTTTATTAAAAATTCAAAAATATTTAAAAATATTTAAAATGTTTAAAAATCCAAAAAAATATTTAAAAATTCTGAAAATTTTAAAAAAACATTAAATAAAATATAATTAAAAATTAAAAAAAATAAAAAAATAGAAAAAATCAGGAAAATCCCAAAAAAATCAGAAAATTAGGAAGTGTACAGAAATCATTTTTTGGCTTAATTTCACTAGATATTAGTGTTAATTTCATTCTGGGCTTAGTTTAAAAATTTGTAAAAATTGAGAAAACCTTTAAAAAATTTCTCAAAAATTCAGACAAGCCATTAGGGCTTTACTTTAGGGCTTTTGATTGTCTTTTCTTTTTAGAGACAATGCTAGGTCGGTAGTTGTTTATTTTTTTTTATGATTATTTGATTGCGCACTTTTAATATGTTGGTTGTTATTTTCCCTTTTTAACATGGTTAAGTCAAATCTTAGATTTTTCGATAGGCTGTCCGATACGTTAGTTTGTGAGCGATCAAGTTTAGGTACCGAAAGGGCACTAGTTAAATCACTAGTGTAATCAAGTCCCCAGCTTTAGAATCTCTAGTTTTCGTGCATATCGAGATGACACTCCCACGTCTTGATTAGGGTTTTTAGCCGACTCTTGATTATGGCTAATGGCGACTCCAATCGAATGCGTAAACTTGACAATTCTCGTCGCATGAGGTATGAGGCTTGGGAGCGCCTCGGTCCTTGAATTAATGATCTATTTGGTTTGTCTTCCAAATGAATTGATTAATGTTCACATCTATCAACAAATACCTTTTGACCTGACCCCATCATGACAGGTAGGTCACGACAATGACATCATAGTATTAGTGTATCTAGCTTTGTGATATCGATTCAATGAAGATATAGTATCTCTATGTTTTGCTCCACTGATTGCACTATGTGAATCTCTGTATCCTGCAGATATGCAACGGTCGAGGGTTATACTCGTATGTACTGAAGTCAACCGGCAATAGCATGAGTACAGTTAAAAACCAATGAACTTGTTACCCAAGTTTCGTGGAAAGACTTAGTCGCGTACTGTAGGCAGCATAACGTGTCTGGAACTTATTACATCAAAGGAAGAGAAATGTTAGAAAGATAAGCCAATTCTTAAACATTCAGAGCAAGCTCCCGTACAAGTGTACAACTGCCTCCCAATCTTTCATTTATACTTCAAACAGTAGCCAGATCAATTTCATACATGTCCCTAACAAGTAATAGCTATCCATCATGTTTGTGCGGATCTTCATCCATTTGAATTCTCTGAATCAGACATGCTGGAAACCAAGTACTAAGCTCTCGTCATCCTTCCACTGTAATCGTTAAAATTATCAGGACATCACCAAAAAACTAGAAGGCAAATGGCCAAGAGGGCGGCTCGTGATGAGGCCAGAAATAGATTCACGGGGGCAGAATTCGGTAAATGCGGGTACTGATCAGGAGACGGCATCATGCATTCCTCCCCATTGAAATAAATTTTCCGTGGAAATGCCCAACCCTCGCTAAGTGTGAACGTGTAAGCATCTTTCTGCAGGATCATCTCCGATTGCACGTTCCCGTCCGGCCCAGCTTCCATGATGACGTCATTGAAGAACTTTAGCCCATAGAACATGCCAGTGTCATCTGTAGAAGAAATTACAGTTAAATGATATTGCTGAAGATTGTTTTCCCAAAGAAAATGCAGAGGACAGCAGCAAAATTTTCTTCTGTGAGACTTACTCATGGATTTGTACGGGACAAGCGGCTTGTAGGCGAAGCTGAAAACTTGGGTGACATTGTTCAGATTTGGATGCTGGGCAACGAGTGTCCACTGAGTGTAGTTAGCGAGGTAGTTGAAATTGATGATGGACATCTTTATGCGCCAATAATCTTTGTAGTTGGTCTTGACGTGCCAATGGACCCTGATGGGGCACATGTGCTCTGTGCACTGTAGTATTGGATTGTCGATTGTCGGTGTAACAATGCTTTGTATCGTCGGAATGCTCCTGCAATAAGAGATCAGTGAGAATAAGTATCTGCCGGACCAGAATGTAAATCAAACTTATACATGCAAGATCACGTGCTACACTAAATTGTAGGACAAAATAAATGGAATGTCGATGCATCTCTATACCCGAAGCTTTTGAGATAGCAAATGAGCTTACTCGACGCATTTGTTTTTGTTCTGGCAGCCACAAGCACAAGTTGGACAAGGAGTAATCGTGGAGTTATAGAAAGATGACATGGAGACGCAACATCTTGGGTACCGAGATGCCACCAGCTGCGAGTATGTACACGTAATATTCCACGTCACTGCAAATCCCGGCAAAATATTAGATGGTCCGCCGTCCGCGGGAAATTCAGAAGGCCAATGCTACAATTTCAGATAAAGTGACTGTCCTAGTACATGTAAACTCTTTCAGACACCTGCAATCAAGCCCTAACTTTCGATGCGTTCCTCTGAATTCATTGCTTTCTTCTCTCCTTAATTATAACTTTCGACGCATTCTTCTGATTTCATTGCTTTCGTCTCTCCTTAGTGAATGGAACGATTTTATTTGGCTATCACAATATCGATATCAGACTTACTTAGTGCTTGAGTTTTCCTGCGACCGTCTGGCGACAGAAAAATCGAAGATGGAACAATTGTTGCTTGGCTGCAAGAGTAGCCCCCTCCAGGAGCTGCCAGTGTGATGTTCTTGGGCAGTTTCACCGTCTTATTCGAAGTACCGGAAAGCCCGACACTGATCTGAAACGATGAGACCGCAGCTGAAGGGTCTTGTCCCCACGATGCCACAAGTCCGCCCCTACAGCAATTAGCAATCTGTTGATTGTAAGGTACCCCAGGAAGCAAGTCGACCACAGTGGGATTCCTCATGCAGCAATGTGGTATGTTCCCCTTGAACTTAGAACAGTCTCCTTGTTCAGTGGCTTGAGCTCCCACCATGGACCAGATCACTTCTTTCTTGGACCAGACCCACCCCAGTTTCCATCCAGGGCTCATTATGTGTCGATACATTTGGAAATTGGTCATTGTCACCACCACCTGATAACATCGACAAAAAACCAGAATGCTTGCACATATTAGTCCAAACTCTGTTACTTGATCAGTATATCACAATCTTACTATCTTTCAAATTTCCCTTTATTTGGGCGATACTATTTTGTTGCGTCCTGCAACTTTATCATTGTATCTTATGTATGATCTGGTGGAGATGATTACTTACGACGTAACCATCGGCAGTCCAGGACATGACGTCCCATTTCATTGTTATGTTCCCGGTAGGATCCAGGGGATCATAAGCCCCTATAATCAGGCGATGCCAAAACAAAAGTCAGCAAAATCCCGGTAATCGAGCATGAAGAAGATTAACATGTTGTACCATAAGAAGCACATTATAATTAGCCGCTCACCTGCATAGGAAAAGAGGATTACACATATAACAGAAAGGAGAGTGTGATGGAGTTTGCTTCTGCAAACCATTCTTCAGGTTCACCAAAGTTCCTGGCTCCCACAGAATGCCAATAGTGAAGATTTGTCAGGTCCAATATTCAGTATCTGACTATTTATGCAAATTATGCTGTCTAAACTAAAGATGTTTTAAAAGATGGCTCACCTACTGTATTGTTGCACACTGTGTGAATTATTAACGTCGTTTTCTTGTCTAATACTTTGTATTCTGTATATGATATGTCTGTTGCAATTGATTAAGATTTTCAGAAGCCAAGCTCAGCTGATGAACGACTCGGAACACATGGGAGATTTTAAATCAGAATGTCTGGAATTATAATAGCCCCTCGGTCAACTCCCTTTGATGTAGGCTTCTCAATGACTCTTGACAGAAGCAAAGTGCGAAGTGCAAAATCTATTCTTTATTTGCAGCTTTGTCACATTGGCCTACTCAAAAACCGTATCAGTATAGTACCTAAGGTGATTGTACATCGCCATAGGATGAGGAAGAAAACGAAACTATATGACGTCTATATACTCGAGTCTGCATAACTTTACCTAGACGTATACCATCAGACGCTTATAATGCGAAGTGAATTTTTCGTGACGTGGGAAGCGTAACGCGTGAATATTAGCACAAAGTACACGAAATGCATGTGATCGCTTGAGACCCTTCTTAATTAAAATAGTCAACAACAGAATGAAAACTGCCCCTCACTTTCCTCAGGCATATTCTAGTAATGATTAATCAGTGGTCTTCTGGCTTTTGGTATCAATTAAGACATTTGAACTGGTTGATGGGAGAGGTGAGAGCTGGAATAGGTCGTCAACTTCCCTTGTGATGAAGACTCATCAACTGTCTGGAATTCCACAATGATGGTTCAGCAAAGAAACTGCACCATCTATAAGTTGAAGGGGGTTTAATTGAATTTTGCACTGAATAGATGTCATTGGATTAGTCATCAAAACCAAAATTTCGTCTTCAATTTAACCCACTTGCGTGGTGTAGTCATGAGCAACAATACTAAGGGTCCGTTCGGTTCAACTTTGCAAATGAGACTTGGGGAAATGCAAATGGCATTTGATAAAAAATCCTTTGTGAAGCTACTTTGGAAATTTTCTTTTTTATTAAAAAAAAACTTACCCTACCCTTCACTGGAGCCTGCGAAGGCCTACGGCCGTCGGCGAGCTAAATCTGGCGCCGGCGGCTGTCGCCCGAGGTTGGGTGACCCCCGGCGAGCTAGATCTGCCGCCGGGCGTCCCTCAGCGAGGGTCGCACAACCCGCTTGGAGTCGGGCGACTGCCCAGGCGCTACCGACCTGGGTGGTCGTGCGACCTCGCTGGCGCCCTCGCGCAAAAGATGAATAATAATAAGAGGGGCAAAACCAGAATAAGCCATAATAAGTGAGGGTAATTTGGGGGCAAAAAAGTTGGTTTTAGCATTTGCCAAATGCTAAAAGTCCAAAGCTGATCCAGACCAGCTTTGGGCTTTGAGCATTCTCAATACTGACTTTTGACCAAAAGCCCATTGACGATGATTGCCAAACGATTTAGTATTTCCTGAAGGGGCTTTCGAGATCGAAAGCCTCTTTCGAAAGCTAAACCAACCACCTCCTAAGTTCAAGAAGGATTATGCAGATCTCATGCTAATTGCAAGAAACACAAAGCTGACCCTATCATTATCATTATTATCATTGTTATCATTACGTTGACTTTCTATTGAGAGAGAATCTTTGATATGGCCAGTTCCAAAAGGGACTTGTAAACCTCCAAGATCTGGTCCTCTTTAGTCATGCTGACTGCTAAAAGCTGTCATGGGCCATTCAAGGGATGTGAAATGTGATGGGCAAAATGGGCCATTTTGAAGCCTATTCTGGTTTGACTGGCCTCATGATTTCCCTCGCACGTTAACCAGAAAAGAAAAGGCAGGCTCAACAGATCAACAGTGGCAATGAAGAAATGGTAGAGAGCAAGGTAGTCCATATTAAATTGTGTTTCGAGTTTGAGCCCGACCCGATGCACACGTGGAGCATTTATTGCTCAAAGTCACGCGCAAAGCAGTGTTGCGCGCGGAAGAAGTGTTGGCCACGATTGTCTTTTATTAATTGAATGTGCACATGGAAAACATGAAAGTCTCGACATTTCTCTCCTTCGTTAATGGATGCCCATAGGTTCTTGCTTTGTCCCTAGGAGCTCAACGTCCATTTTGTTTTCTCATTTAATGCACGCACATGGCCGTGTGTATGCATGCCCATGAAAATTGGAGGGCGCCGGTACTGCTTCAGAGTTTTGTCTTGTGGGCTTCCTTTGTCTTTTGTAATAAATGAAAGAAAGAGGGAAGGCAGAAGTTATGCTCATTTTCTTATGACGGTGCATGATGGTCATCTCATTAATTGCATGGAGGCGCATGGTTTTCGAATGTAGGCACCATTTGTCTTGTTTTCTCGTCCTTTCTCCTATAAGTGGAGAGGACATACGAAGACGAAGATAGCCGAGAGTAGATAGAGCTCAAGAGACGAACAGAGACGTGTGAGCTCGGAGAGATTTGTGTGGAGTTGAGTTGTTAAAAACTGTGGGTATTGAAAAATAATTGAGCGTGAGTGACTGTAACCCTGTAATTCTCCGATTTATCAGTGGATTATTTCTTGATTTTGCTAGTGGACGTAGGTTCCGACATTCGAACCAAACCACGTAAATTTCTCGTGTCCTTTTATTATTCCTCGTTTTATTTCTCCGTCAATTTTTACGGCTCCTGGCTTAATTGCAAAGTTACAATCCGCTTCCGCCACGTCGCCGATTTAACAAATTTTTTAAATGAGATGGATAGCGCGTTTATAAAATCGCGCAATTAGATCGAATCGTAAAATCGTAAGATGTTAGAAATATTGAGAAATATCTCTGGAAGTGCTGTAGGATAACAAAGACAGAATCTGTCTATAAACACCTATCTTATGTGATAGATTGATTTTAAGAGAGGAGAGAGAGGCAGAGAGAGTTATGCTCTTAGGAAACTAAGGAAAAAGGAGGGAATGAAAGTTAGTGCGGAAAAATATGGAATGTTTTCAAATTTTTGTGGTGAATAATGTTCTTCTCGTGCACAAAATGAAAAGAGCAAATATATAGAGATACAACGATATGTCCGTGTTTATATCATATGCATTTGATGCGTTTCTGTGAATTTAATAATTGATGAAAGATAAAGGTCGCGCCGAACATTATCTTTCGTTTTGCCAACCCATATCAAACCTTAAATTGGTTTCCAAATTTGAATCTGACGAGTATTATTTCGCATGATGGCATTCGATTTTCACCGTGAAGTGTTCAACCTGTTAATAACAATCGATAATATACGTGAAGTGTCGCACCCCTCAGTTTTCAAGGGAATGAATAGACATGTAAGCCTATATGTCTATCCATTCCTAAAGCATAGAAGGCCAATCTCATAGGGATTGGATTCTTATTCTCGCGTCATTGCTTAATACTACTGTGAAAATATAGAAGAACTGTGGATAAATCAAAGAGTTAATACCACGAAAAACCCCAAATCAGTATACCTGTGACAAATTTATTTCAAATAATTTTTTGACCACCAAAAACCTTAAACTATTACACTTATGACAAATTTACCCCAAAACTAATTTTTTTACCACCAAAAATCCAAAATTAATACACTTGTGACAAATTTACCCTCCGTTAAATTGGATTGATACCACAAAAATCATAAATCGGTAAACCCGTGACAAATAGAGGGGTAAAATCCTAAGCTGGTACACCTGTCAACTTCTACATGTCATCCAACTTAGTAATTTGACGGTAAATTCTATAAAAATTAATAGAGGGTAAATTTGTTACAGGTGTACCAGTTTGAGGTTTTTAGTGGTCAAAAAATTAGTTGGGGTAAATTTATTATAGGTGTACCAATTTAGGGTTTTTCGTGATATTAACCCTAAATCAAATAATACAGTTTCCATTTTGGGTCATTTCCCACATTGGAGGCTTCACCACCACACTGAGGCTCCGTTCGTTTGGCGGAAAATGTTTTCCAGGAAAATATTTTCTGGATTTTCCAGTGTTCTGGGGGCGGAAAATAACTTCCCACGGAAAACATTTTCCCTCCCATGAGCAATTTTGCCTTCACTTTGGGGGAAAATGATTTCCTCTTTGTGACATTTTCCCTCCATGGGCAATTTTGCCTTCACTTTGGGGGAAAATGATTTCCTCGAGGAAATCATTTTCCCCCAAAGTGAAGGCAAAATTGCCCATGGGAGGGAAAATATTTTCCGTGGGAGACGAAGTTGATCGCCGGTCACTGTCGTCGGCCGCCGGTTGCCGCCGCCGGGGTTCGACGGTCGCCGCCACCGGTCGCCATCGCCGATCGCCGCCACGGTCGCCGATCGCCGGTCCTGCCGTCGATTGTCGGCGGCGCCGTCGCCGCCCTCCCGTCGGCCGCGCGGTCGCCGCCCACCGCCGATCGCCGCCGCCGTCGTCGGTCGCCGATCCAAATCGGCCGCCGCCCGATCGCCGCCGCCGGTCGCCAGAGTCCTTGTCGGTCGTCGGCCGCCGCCGGTCGCCGGCCGTCGGTCGTCGATCGCCATGTCATGTGATCGGTCGTCGATCACCGCCGATCATTGCACGCATCCCGTTGCCGCCGCCAACCACCACCGGGTTGCCAATCGCCGCCACCGCCGCCCGCCGCCGGTTCTGCCGATCGCCGCCGCCCCGATCGCCGCCGCCGTCGCCGCCGCCGGTCGCCGGACGCCGCCGGATCGGCGGTCGCCGAACACCAGAAAATATTTTCCGAAACTTTTTCAGATTTTAGCCGAACACTAGAAAATTATGTTCCAGGAAAACATTTTTCAGGAAAATGACTTCCGGGAAAATATTTTCCAAAAGGAGAATATTTTCCGCCAAACGAACGGAGCCTGAATCTTCTGCCACTCACCGTCTCCATTTATCTGTTTTGCTTGCGATAACCTTTTATTATATAGTGCTAATTCCCTAAAAAACTCTAAATTTTATGTCCAATTTTAATTATGTCCTGAATTTTTCTTTTTTGTCTAGAAAAAAATCTAACTTTCACCTTAATCTCAAATTTGCCCACTTGTAAAAAAATCGTTACTAATTTCTTCAAAATTATCAACATCAGGAGTCTGCTATTGTCCTACACAAAAGTAAGAGTACATGTGTTGATGAAGACGGATGTTTTAGTAACGAACCTCTATTTGGCTTCGATGTTGATAATTTTGAAGAAATTAGTAGCGAATGTTTGACACATGGTCAAATTTTGGACTAGAGTGTGGGGATTCCTTTTTAGACAAAAAAAAAAATTGGGGACAAAATTGGGATCGGAACAAGCATAGAAATAAATTTTTCTTGTATTAGGCTTCATTGAACAAGCATAGCCCGAGCGTGCTCTGTGTCTTACCTTCCTTTGCCGATGTTGACGGTATAACCAAGGCATTGGTCGGTCGATGCTGAGGTTATACTTAATTACTTATGGTATCAGTTGACAAATAGTTCGAACTTGAAATATATCTCCTTCCTTTGCCGATGTTGATAGTATAACCAAGGCATTTGTCGGTCGGTCGATTTTGAGGTTATACTCATGGTATTGGTCGACGGATGATTCGAACTCGAAATATCTTCACAACGAAAATAAATTAATACAAAAAAAAAAAACAAAATCGCCGTTGCCGGGGATCGAACCCGGGTCACCCGCGTGACAGGCGGGAATACTTACCACTATACTACAACGACCTTGATGTTCTCTAGTAGCAAAATAATTATAATTAACTATTTTCTTTACTCGGCCATCTTCAGTTTCACTACTAGCAACTACACTTGAAAAAACAATGTAACCTCACCGGCCCTCTCCTTTTTGCGAGCATCTTGATTCTAACCGAACAGACGGTGGTCTGAAGTCGAAGCCGCGACCAATCATGGGTAGGGAAGCTAGTCGAAGTGCCTTTCGTTTAGTAGCATAAATCGTGCTGCGCCTCGAAAGCAAAAGGGCATAAAGAGCTGGCAGCATGGGATGCTATATCAGAGAAGGACCGGAAGAGATATGATAACATAGCATCGTGAGGCAAGGAAAGTCACATTCCAATTCAAAGCTTGCCTTGCACTTATCTGACTCAGACAGTTCTGAGGAGGTTTCGCATGTTAAGAAAGAATGAAGCCGCGTACAACCAAAATCTAGCTTGCGAAGGTGCAGCATGACAAATTTCGATCTGCAAAGGGGTGTACTCGGACCTTAGACAGCTTTTAGTCATGGAGACTCTAATTATTGAGAAGCCCATCTAACCAGGAGCGAGGTTTTGATTAAGGTCGTGCGTAAAAGGACTGTGCAATGAAGAAACCAGAAAATGAAAACGGTCCACCACGGTTTAAACTGGTAGAGTTGCATAGACAACTTCTATTTAACAGAGAAAACGACAGACGCCTGGTATGCCGACTTCCATTAGATAATATAAGCAACATTGGTAAGTGAAACAGATAAACATGGGGATGATATTGTCTGCATCCATGGAAGTGGAACACGTTCCACCTGAAAATCTTCAACCCTGAAATCGGAATCTGAAAATTCATACAAGCGGAGTCAAACTGGTTGAGTTATTCGCCAGATTATGGCACTCAAAGAACAGTTATTTGGCACCGTCAGTTGAAAAAACTTGAGTTGCATAGACAGAGATAGTATCTACATTTGGCCTCATCCTTTTTGTGTTCTAAACAGACTTCGAGGAGTCTGACGGAGGGAAAAAGAAAAAAAAAACAGGACGTCGTAGTACTGCCTTGCCACTTCGTGAAGCTTCATTTTGGAAGATTCAAGTAGTCTGCAGGCAAGAGAAAGCGTTGTTTTCCTGCTTCACGTGCAGGGAATGTCTTTGATGCTCCACGCGCTGAAGTTGTGAAGACAGTTGAAGCAAATTGATTGTATGTCCATCATCTCCGCAAGGAAGATGGTCTTTTGCATCTAAAAGACCTGATCCATGGACAAACCCACCTGAGATCGCGTAGTTGGAATTTTCGTTGTCACAGATTACGATCGAGCCTTGATTTGCTTCGGCAGAATGGATTCCTGATGAAGAAAACTTGCTTAACACTCCATTTTCCAGAGTGAGCGAGCTCACCCCCATTAGGTTTGCAGACACCGGGCCCACACCATACCGCAACTGGCCACTGTGCATGATCAAGGACTGGTCCATGGGAATTCCAGACGTTTGGCTAGAAGAATTCTGAGAGTGCGATGACAGAAGAGAGAGAGCACAACCAGATTCTGAAACTCCCGGCAATCCTTGAACCGTCGATTCGGTGTCAAATATGCCATAGTCTTCACTCCCCAAGGGGTCTGGAAACAAGGAACGTGAACCAGAATTTGGTCCTTCGACATCATGCTGAAATCGGCTACCTTCGCCGAAAATGCCCACTGAGACGGAATTACCTCTATTATCAAGGAATGGAGACAGTTGCTTTCCATAACTGTAGGAGGGGAAAGGCAACCTGGGATGCCCTACCGATAATGTACCATAATCAGTTCCATGTTCCGCTTTAACACGGTTGACCCAATCATTGGCTTTAAACTTCTCAGGATGCAGACGGCTGCCACTAGGGAGTATGTCCTGGCAAATAAAGGATGTAGTCGTGAACACATTCCCTTGAAACCTGTTTCCTGGAAATCATGCATAAACATCAATGGGGTGTTGTTAGGAAGAATCGTGAGGCAGTCAAACTAGCAAAATAGTAGCAGAAAGGAACCAATGTTACTTAGCATATTAACTACAATCATTACTGCATTGTCTGAGAGACTTGTGTTTTCCACTACTTTATAAGGGCGCCTCGCAGGTTTATCTTGACAAGGGAATCATGATCAAAGGACGAGTGTGTACTCAAAGGATGGATTGCTCTTGCGAAATTTTGCTGGCTTCATAGGAGTAGTGTTTAGGGGAATCCATGGTTCCCGCAGCTAATGACTGTTGGTAGATATTTTACTCCTAAAAGAAAGTCCTAAATCTAAACCTCAATAGGAATAAATTAGTCAATTTTTTGGATCAATTTCTCACAGTAGCAGAGTGGATAAGTTTTTCAATTGCAGCTATCAGCTATCATTTTCGCCACCTTCCGTTTACTGGACCTTCAGCCCACAGATAAACCTTGCAACATGATCCAAACAAAAGCTATCAATGGCACTTTACACTCAGTGGAATTCAATGTTTTTTGACGAATTCCAAAGCAAACAAGTGTAGGAGAAACCAATATTTTCTGATTAATTCCGAAGCAAACAAGATCAGGTCAGGGCAGCTCAGGGTCAACATTCAGTGGAATTCAGACTTTTTGTAAGAGTGTTCTCAATATGACTCCAGTGCAGAAAAGCACCATGAGTAAGGAAAGGATAATACAATCAGATAAAGGATGATGTGGCGAAGGTTTGTGCAGGCAAAAGACATGAACATGCAGTACTTGTCCTAGAGAGAGAGAGAGAGAGAGAGAGAGAGAGAGAGAGAGAGAGAGAGTTTTTGAGATTCTCAAGTGTAGAAGTCATGCTCATACCACCATATGGCTGCAAGAGTTTTCCAGCCCTTGCAGAGTGAACGCCAATTTGGGGCTTCCTACGACGTTCATTGTGGCCTGCAAGACGTTTACGACAGCTGCGCTTACCATCATCAAATTCAGCCAGCAAATGAAACCTGGACAGTCAAAAGCTTGAACACATTATAGTAGCAACAACTACAGAAGCAATTGGACCAGGGAAAGTCATAGGAATTTAGATCAAACTGGAGATGCCTTATGGAGTATCTCATATAAATGCATTTTTTGAATGATTGGTTTAATTTTCCAGCAAAAATTATCTTTTGTGACAAACAAGATCTCCAACTGCACAAATGAGAGGCATCTACCCAAATTAGAATTTGAATGTCAGATTTGTCTAATCATGTAAAAGGGCGAGAAAATTCCATTTCACGCTCATGCTACCAAGAGCAAACTGTAAAAGTTAAAAGAGACTCGTACAGAGTTATGAATGCCCTATTTTTTTTTTTTGGGTAAGGTATGAGTTATGAATGCACTATTTGATCACTGATAAGAACTAGATCAGGCAACGATAAACACTAAAGTCCAAAATACTAGCCATACGATTGCATTCACAGGTGTGGTTCTATAAATGAAAAAGCATGCTAATGATAAAGCAAATCTAGCAAGTAAGATGAATAAGACCAACCTACTACACTGCTGGCAAAACCTCTGTTCAATGCCGTTCACTATCACTTTTGAAGTCTTTGAGTGAGCCTCACAAACTTTATGCCTCTTGTGGTAGTCTTTGGAGGAACTAAGGTCCTTGTTACAGCCATAAACTTGGCAATATGCGTTCTGGAAATTCGCCCCGGCGGCTCTAAGTCTCTTCGTTGGTGTGGACGACCCGGACGACGAGAAAACCGGGAGTCTAGATTTAGGGGGATCCCTGTTATCGGAAAACCTCCCAAGTTTCAAATCGATGAGTGACGAGTCTCTACTACTGGAGTCCATCACAAAGCTTGAGAATTTCGAGGACTCTTCATCGGACAGAAAAGTGATTGGAGAGGCCATGATTGAGTTTATGTCTCTTCCTCCTCCAACTTTGTGACCCCAGACATCCCGGATTGGATCCCGTGGGACTTGCTTGGTCATGTCTTGAAATCCCAATTCACCAAAACCTGGACTAATGCTATTGTTTGCCTGCTGGGCAGAGACCAGCATGCCGTTATTACTAAAACCAGATGGAGTTCTCAATTCCCAACTCAAGAAAGCATTTTTGCTTCTTGCAAGAGCATCAGAGGATGACATTGTCCCATCTGACTGAACCCCCTTCTCCCCAGAATTGAAACTCCAGGATTCCATAAGAGAATCAAAAAGAGAGAGAAAACAGACTCGAGATCAGTTGAAATTAATGCATACTGACCCACATCAGACTCCACCAAGAAAGACTGTCTATGGCATACACTAACAGCCCCTGAACTTCAAAACTTCCTTTTGCCAAATAACGAAACAGTCAAGTGACTACTTGTGTACAGAAAGTGGCTATAACAAAAGCAGACAAATTAATCATCCCGGCAAGAATACTTGAGCCTTAAGCAGAAATGGACTCGAAAAGACAAAGACTAAGCATCAAATTGAAATAAAAAGAGAATCCCATGTCAGAAAGATCGAGCACAGAAGCCCCCAAAAGCTCGAAGCTGTATCTAATCAAGAAACAGACCCAAGAAAGAGTATCTGCTCAGTCCAAGAACGGTAGATTAATCCAGAAAAAAATAAAATAAAAGAAGGGGTTGGTTGTTGTTCAAGAAAGCAGAACGAGAAAGGTAATTATGGGGACGGTGAGAGAGAGGAAGGCTATCAAAAGTGGCAAGAAAGGGAATGAGGGGGAGAGAGATCAGAGAAAACGATGAGAACTTTAGCACTGTGGAGGAGTGAACAGTAGGACTGAGAATGATGGGGAGAGAAAATAGGGTTGAGAGACTGAGAGGGAGAGCATATCAGGGAAAAGATATTACATGTCCCCAAACTTCATGGGAAAATCACTCTAGTGGTTGCTATTTTTAGAGAGAGAGAGAGAGAGTAAACAAATCAGCTGATGGAAGTTAAACTTCCTTTTTGCCTTGTTTAGACAAAGTACGGAACTTGATCTCTTCTCTCCCACGCTTGGTTTGATATTCTGCAGAAACCCCCTCTTGTTTTTTTCCAAACCATAGCAGTGGTCCCTTTGCAATATTCTCACTAAAAGACAATCCTAAATGACAGTTACCCCAAATCCTAAACAGCGGCTTCTTGTTAAGACCATTGCTTTTGTTTTTCCCTGTAACAAAAATCGATATCGACACGTTGCACAACAAATCACGGTAGAAAGAAAAAATCCGAGCATCTTGTAACAAATCTAAGGTCCAGATTAGCGTCTTACTTCTTTTGATGCTTCAAACCGAAAAAAACATATCAAGGTCTTATTTTGGAGGCGAAGTTGGTAAATAACTTAAGTGAACGCGGTGTGGAAACAAAAAACACTGTTTATTCACATAACCAATCGAGAAAAATCGGATAGGTATTGCTTTTTTTTTTTTTTTTTGCAAGGAACAGGCGGAAGCAAGCAGTTTGGTTCATAATGGAATCAAGCAAAAAGAAGGGCAACAACATAAGTTATCCACTGCTGGGTTTTAAGATCCCTCGGGGGATGCAAAAGGAGGGCAGAAGGGGTATGGTGTTAAATGATGATTTATGGGAAAAGGTCCATGCCATTAGTAGAAAAATCCTTCTTGAAAACCATAAAGAAAGAATATTCCCCTCTCTCGGGAGCAAGAAAAACATACACAAGGCTCCATGCAAATTAAAGGTGCAGAGGGAGAGAGGGGGGAATTATAGGGTGAGAGCGATGCACAAAGGGATCTCTATGCACTGTCAATCTCAAACTCCAATCTCTCAATTATGTTGGGATCAAGAGGACAGGCCCCACAGTTATAATTACCCTCACTTCTAGCTCCACCTAACGTTCCCCATCCTGTGTTGAAATTGAAGTCTAAGTCCAATTATGTGTGTGTCTACATCACAGTTCACAACACATTTCAAATGTTTGTTCCTAGTGGACACTATTGGTTCTACAAGTAAAGGGCTTTTCATGATATTTCAACCTAATTGACGGAAGTGGTTAGAGATTACGATTTGGATCCTCTAGAATCTTATAAAGGATGATGGCTACAATTCTACAAATGGGTCACGACCCACATAATCGCATGCGTCTTCATAATTACAGTACTAACGAATCCGAATGGTTTATTCAGGATATTGGGTTTAAATTACTTTTTGTCGAAGTATTGACGAAATATTCAATTTAATGATCGTTACGTAGCTTGACAAGTTACTATATGAAATTGCATTGAGTTCAACTCCATCTACCGAGGACTTAGATATGATTAAGCCAAATCATGCAATGATTCTTTGTCTCTGCCTTTCTGGTCTGCAGATCTAATAAGTTCTTGCCAAATTAGCAGAAGAAAGACATCAGTCGTGGATCACCTAAGGCAGACAAATCAAAAGGAAAAAATTTCCTAACAAAAGATCTTTGACAAAATATTCAATCAGTGTATATGTGTGGATCACATTTTTTTTATTGGGGTTATAGAGATAAAGAGAGACAGTCATGACAGGCTAGAGAGGGAAAGAGACTGCAGGAATGATTATCTCCACCCAATTCATAATGAAAGTGTGAACATGTCTCCACTTTTTTGAGAAAACGTGTGATGGGTGGACAGGGTTCAATTGGAGAAAAAAAGAGCACATATCCATAAAGCAAGTCAAGGATTGGAATCTTCTTTTTATTGGATTTTATGCTGCTTTTTAAGTTTCCATCCCTCTCATCACACACAAAGGGAGAAATGGCAAGGGAAATGCAACTTGAAAGTCACAAAAGAACCCACAAAGGGAGAAATGGAAAAAAGTTATATCTCAAAAAGTAATAATTAAATAAAAACGATCGTGTTTTCCTTCAAAAGAAATTTTCCTTTTCTCAACATCTGATTAGAAGTTTTCTGCAAATTTTAGAATATGTAACTAGGATCATGTTTTTTTTTTCTATATGATTTCGTCCGATCATATTTTAGATGATAGGTTATAAACCGAACATGATTCATATGAAAACTTAATTAAATATAAATATAGGTAATATCATGATTTGTAACCTATCAATTTGTGACATGGCGAGATGAAGCTTCTCTGACTAGGAATTGAGAAAAATATAGCTCTTGTAAATTTGACCTACACAAATAAGACCTTAACTATAACAATAATTTATATTTATCCCTCTCTCTCTTCTTGACCTCACGTCCAATCTAGACCTCACCGCTAGCCTGCACCATCCAAGTCCCTTGCCTCACACATTTTCCGCGAAGTTTGTGTTCTAACGCACACATGCGAGAGAGAGAGATGAGGGCGGCGGTTGGAGAGGACGGCAAGGTTTGACATTGCAATGGGTGGTGACCGAGCTGAGCATCGAGGACGGCGATGGACATGATGGCATGGTGCGACGAGGCGACGGTAGTGTGGTGTTGACGGCTTAAGGACTGGATGGAGAGAGAAAGGAGGAGAAAGAAATAGTTTTGCCTTTTCTTTTTTGCTTTGTGTTTGGTGTATTCCGCATTTCAAACTTGCATGTGCACCGCATTTAAATATGAATTAATTTTTGAATTCTTATTAAATCCACTGTCGGTGTAAGAAATTATAGATACAGTTTGATAATTAGTCTATTTCCAAATTATAGCTATCCATATTGATGGTAACGGAAGTAGGTTGTTTAACAAATGGAATACACGGACCGTGCATTATACAAAAACATAACCCAATAAAAAGTTGGGTAGAGGAAGAGAATATGACCCGGTTGGAAATTAGGATGGCCAATTGAAAAGAAGAACATGTCAAGACAGAATCTAAAATATTATGAGCACAGAGACTTTTGAATGGTCAAATTAAGTCAAGGGAACAAATTAAGATGGAATTTGATGCTGCACTTTTGCTTTTTTACATGCAATTGCAATCATTACAGCCCAAGAGATTCCACATATTAAATAAATGTTGACCTTGTGAACAAATGCAATTCATGGACATAATATCTGCTTTGGCTAAAGGGAAGTACACAAATCTTGATTAAAGACAACCATGTGTTTCCACTTTGAAGAGTACATGCTGCACGCCTGCCTGAGATCCAGCTCTTAACTAAATTTGGTGGAGTAATCAAGATGATTAACATGCGATCGTGATATCTTTTCCCACTAAAGTCTTAATATAGATGTTTTGTACGGTCAAAGGTTCCTAAAACTAGAAAAAGGAACAAAAAAACAAAAAAGAATGGGATCTAATTATAGCGATTTAAAAGCTCCTATGCTTCTCATTGGATTGAAGTGCAAGCATCACATCAGTTCCAGTGTGGACTTGCCAATAATACAATCACAAATGAGAATTCGGAAATAAAATAAGTTATAATTGTAACAAGATACTAAATTCAAATTAGATAGAATGGAAAAATCATTAATATGTCCATGCCAAAGAAAACAAACGTTTAACTCTTCACTAATTTAGTATTCAATTGAGATATCGAAATAAGGAAATGAAAAAAAAAAACTATAGATGAGTGAAGTTTTGTTAAAGTAAATAACAACCTATAAAAATAAAATGAGAAAATCATATGTTGCATCAATTTTTTGGAATTGGACTTTGCACCCGCATGCTCTATTTGTGTCTTGACTTTTTGAATAAACAAAGAGATACCAAACAAAATGTAGTACACACAAATTTAATTTCATGCATTGCATGGGGATCACGGCTAAGGAAAGAAGTAAAATAGAGAACATGGTTGGAGGAAGCTCCATTCAATCATATTTTCAATAAGTGGGTTACAAGTGTAGACATCACTGTATTTAATTTCAATTGAATTTACATGTGAGTGATGTCCATTACTTGTAACCAATCAATTAGAAGTATAGTTATCCTTAAGAACAGTACTTGCACGTCTCAGATATTTTTTATCTTATTTTTTCATATTTTTCAATAGATTTCCAATAATTCTTATTTTTCGTATTATATAATATATTTCCAACATGCTTAAGGACAATCACCTTATGGATTGCCAAATTAGAACTACCACTGCTACCTTCAATGTTGGAATTGAATGAGGACTTGGGGATTGTGAAGTACAAGTATCGTATATTCATGGGCAATTTGTCATGGGATATTATTGAGCATTAGCACAAAAGAGCTTTCGGTCGTTTCGGTAATGTTATTGAGTGTCAGGTAAAATCGTTCTTTGCGGCTTCGACACCGAGGTTTGTTTTTTTGAGAGGAAATTGAACGTTTGTAGGTGTTTTGTCTCTCAAGTTCGTGATTATTTTTTCATAAGCATGCATCTAAGATTGGAAATTAGGCCACTCAATGACTTTATTTTTTTATTCATGAATGCACCGGTCTATGTTTGATAAGATAGGAAATCGTGATCAGTTAATGATACATCGAGGTATGGGCCAATGTTGTAGTGGGTGTGAATGGCTTTTAATACCATGGTTAAGTATGATTTCGGAGATTATTTTCTCTATTTAATAAGAAAAAGTGTTGCCAATGAAGAGGTTTTCTCCAAAACCAACTTAAGGAATATCAGTGTCAAATGTTCGATTACTCAAGCTAAAGTGAGGATAATTATTGACTGGCAATGTGTCAAGTGATTTCTGGAAATGAACAACGTTGTATTAAGTTAGTTATCCTTGCTATTATCAATAAAATGTTGTTTCTTGGACCAATTTTTTTGGGTTACTGTTCCACGACATAAGTTAAACTTCGCTATTTCATGTCAGGTAATCCTCTTCATTGAGAATTTGGTAGCATAATGTTCATATGGATAACGATGATGATATAATGTGATGATGTATGGGGAAACGCTAAATTTTGTTATTAAGAAGATAAACCCTACATTCTTACATTACGATATCCATACAGTGATGTTCTTTCCCTCAATCTTCTTTGTGTTGTGGTTGTTTATATGATTTTATTCTAATCTTTTACTTTTGGCTCATATCGGCAATTTCAATGTGCCCAATTGCTTT